AGACAATACGAAACCCTCAAAAGGTTTCGTACAAAACTTTGGGTGACTAAAATTGATTGTCATTGACTCAGGACACTTTTTCAAGTTTTTCGAAGTGGTCTGTACTGAACCTAAAATGGTTCAGAGAATTGCAACGAACTCGAAACCCTTTTCGGTTCCGTACTATGTACGAAACCTTTTTTCGTTCAAAGTACCTTTTTTGGTTCGGTATCATACCATTATTTTTCAGTGCATTTTACTGGTGAACGATATGCAAAATTTATTCGAACTATTTTAGCACAAATAGCAGCTAAAGAATTAGGTGATTTACAAAATGTTATTTTTCAACATGACCAAGAGCGTAAACAAAGGACAAAGGTGGCTTTGAATGCTGTTAAGCGTGTTTTTATCAATCGAATTGAACCAAAAGATTGTGCTGCAAAACTAGCTGATGTTTGGCTTATAGAAAACGTTTGGGATATATTGAAAGAGAAATTGCGAGGACGTGAATACAGTGATATTGCAGAATTGAAAAACGACATTAAAAAAGAATGGAAGAAAACTATTGTTTCTTTATGTCAACGAATAATAGATAAAATACCAGTACGATTAAAATTAGTTATTGATCAAGATGGTAATCAAATACAAGAACATTGATAATTCTTTATTTTTTTTTTATCTTTAAAAATTATATTGTTTTTAAAATAATAATCAAGATGATGAAGAAAATTTAAAAAATAGTACATGACAGTGTTGTTATAGTTTCTCATCCATACTAAAAGCTATAGACCTCAAACTTTCTAGTTAAGTGAAGCTGCATATGTACAATAATCTGTGAAAGTTTCAAAGAGTTTGCTTTCGCTGAATGCGAGAATGATGAATTCTAAAATCGTTTCAGAATTTCCGTAACACCTCTTATGTGGGTTCGATAGATGTTCTAACAGGTTTTTGGTGGAGTGTTGAGTCCTATGAGTTTTGATATGTTGGGACTGATTCTGGAAGTTGATATCAAGTATCAACATCTATCTAAGTCATAGTCTATAAAATGCGCATAGACACTGAATAATGAATGCATGACACTCGATAATGCCATATCAGTCAAGGAGTCATAGGGTGCTACACATATTCAGACCAGGAAGGCTTCTACTGCAATGCAGCGAGATAATCAGCTCTGTAATCGAATTGCATTCGCTTCATATATACTATATTGCACTTCATCATCCAGAACTTTAGCTCTTAAAGTTTCTGGGACGTGAAAAAGGATGCGAATGCTCTATGTGATACACTATTTCTAAATGCCTAAATTGGAAGTGAAATTCTGTGCTCCTAGAAATACAAAATTTTCGGACACAAAACCACTTATAATAAATCATTGTCATCAATCAACAATGGTGGAAGTATGTGCCTATTCGTGAATCTCGGAAAATGCATGACTGAAGAATCACATTTTCCAATTACTAATAGGAGTACGTATACTTTCAGACACTTTTGACGTTGGTTTTCGTTGTTGAAATACAAACATTGATACACCGGCCAGACAGTATAACTTTCACCTTTTGTACTGAAAGGTGTCTAGACAGCAAAATTAAATAAATACTTTCTTACATACTAGAATTGCAGATCTAGAAATCTCTACCATGTTAACTACATCAATTAGGCTTCCAAAGATAATTCTTTTTCAGAGCTACTTCTGGAGATTTCCGGTTGATTTCTCGAGGAATCGGTAGACCATACACTAAACCCTAAACACATTGCTGTCAGTTCCTGATAGTATCGACATGTCGATCAATAATGGCGATTAAATTTCGAATTCAGAGTCAAATTCAAAGAAACATACCCTGATTGTGAGATTGTAAGCCCAAAACAATCCCAAGAATAACTGCTAGAAGGATTGCTGCTAGAGAAACACTTATTGAAATAACATAAATTTTTCTGCGATACCATTGATGCCTTCAGAAGACAAGAAAATTTTCATCAAAAGTACAATTCAAAAGCAAAACTAGAAAACTTACTTAGTTTTTGGATAGAGCTTTGCTTCTGTATATACAAGAATATTAATTTAAAACACGATATTCAAAAATATTTCACATACCTTCAAATGGAAGTTCTAATAGCATTTCATCTGGTATGATTTGTTTTAGATGAATAATATGTAAATCAGCTGCAGGAATAAATTGTGATTGTACTTTCATTGATGTACACGGAAGCATTAAAATTTCATCCTCAGTGCCGAAAGCCGAATGTGCTCGTATGCTTCTACCGTTTATGACTTCGATAGAGAAAAGAGTTCTTTCACCTACACTTCCTAAATAGTTATCGTTCTCTAATACTGTAAGCGATGTTGTGCATGATGTGAACTTCCACAATGTTACTTGAGTACCAGGAGGAAATTCATTACTAACATTACTTCGAACACCGCGCCAAACAGTTTGTACGGGTGCACATGGTATTTTAACCAGAGCAGAGAGAAAAAGTTTGAGATATTTGAACCAAGGTCGAAGTTTTTCACGATTATCGTACTGAAGAGTGCGATTTAGAATGAAATAAAGACTCATTTGTTCATTGTGCCATTCCATTGTATAAAGACGAATGGCAGCTGACTCATCACGAGTCAGTTTATTGGGTGGAATAGCTGGAGTATTTTCTAGAGCTATAGTAGCGTATGTCAAAATATTGTAAACAATATCGACCAATGGTTTACAAGCTTCAATAAGTGATACAAGTAGTTCTTGAGAATAACCAATGATAGGTGCATTTTGGTTCGAACCTTCGAAATTTTCAATTAAGACGCGCCTATTTCTATTTTGAATCAACTCTACATTAGACTCGTTCATCGTCATTAGCTGTCACCGTGTTGAGAAGATATTTAATGTATTTGAGATAATGTATATGACTCTAATATCTAAAACAGAAAATTGAAGATGAAAATAAAATATTGATTGAACAATGAGAAATTATGCAAGTAATTTATTTGGTATAAGTATATATATTTGCGATGATGTACCATTTACATTGATGCATATTGTAATAAAAAGCTTAATTCATATTAAGGATTGATGTATTGCTTCCGGTGAGATGATAGCTGCTAAAAAAACTCGTTCAGAAACTGTACTTTGTGTGTTTAGCTTATTGATTATTTTGATATTCAATATCTTAATTTTTTTCTTATTTCTGTTATATTTCTTGTCAAAGCATCAGACTTTTATAGAGTTTCAATATTAGAGTCTCATTCAGTAGCTGCACTGTCACCGTCATCTTTGAGCAGAAACTTTGATCTATTCAGTGACATATTTCAAGGAATAATTTATCATATCTTTAGTTATCAGATCCTCATAGAATAACAAGAACTTCATACAAAAAAAAAAACTTTATTAGTAACAACAACTAAACACTTGAAAATTTTGTGTGATTTGTTGGCATGCCATTCGACATGAGGACAAGCATTTCAGGAGAGATTATGTTTCAAATAGTTGACATCTTAGTCTTTATGTATTATTCTATTTAAGGAATATGTCATATCTTGAAACATATCTCAAAGTTTCTTTATAGTTCTAAAATAGATTTTAGTATATTATTATGAAAAATCAGAGTAACTCAGTAATCTTTCAAAGCAATTGTCAGTAAAAGATTCATATTTTCAACAGCTTAACATGAGTGGAAAAGAAGTCATATATACATGTAAACGATAACATGGTGTTTTAACACATTGAGCACAACAATGTTATATGACTCATTGACTTCTTGTATTAAGAAAGATAACACATTGAAGCTCGTTTTTCTTTAATATCAACATGTTTTAATCTGTTTAGTAACTAAAATCGATGGTTAAGTCTGATTTGACAAGTTTTTTATACAGAAAGTGGAAAAATATATGTGTAGTCACTTGATGAAATTCCTTGAAAAGGTAATTGTACTCAAATTTCGATGTGTTCTACTGTAAATTTTTGTTCCTATATAACACTTATTTAATATATGAGATCATATTGAGTACATTACATTAATAAAAACAAAAAAAATCAACATTTTTTCTATAAAAGAACAAAACAAAATGTCGATCATTATGTGTTTTTCATAGGTACGCTCTAAAAAAGAAAATTTTGTTCCCTAGACTGAGAGGCTAGGGTCTAGAAACCTAAATTCACCTGTGTCTGTGTGTCTGTCCGTCTGTCTGTCTGTCTGTCTGTCTGTCGGTAACGTGGTCAAAATGGTCATGATAACTATGGCACAAGCGGTCATTTTTTGGCACAAACAGCCATTTTTTTACAAAATTAACTAGGTAACTATGGTACAAATGACCATATGGTTTAAATGCCCATAGTAACAATGGTTCAAATGGCCATAGTAATAATGATGCAAATGACCAAATAACAACTATGGTCAAAATGACCGTGGTAACTATGGTACAAATGAGTATTTGGTTAAAATGTCCATCGTAACTGTGGTTCAAACGACTATTTAACAATTATGGTCAAAATGACCATGGTAACTGTGGTACAAATGGCCAAATAATAACTATGGTGAAAATCGCCATAGTGATTGTGGTACCAGTGATGATAGTAAAAGCATGATCAAAAAATAGACTTGGTAATTATGGTACAAATGATCATACGATAATAAAAATTTATTTTTCTTAATAATGTGATATTCCCTAGACTGAAAGGCTAGGGTCTAGAAACCGAAATTCACCTGTGTCTGTCTGTCTGTCGGTAACGCGGTCAAAATGGCCATTTTTTTTGGCACATGTAACCATTTTTTTGGCACAAGTGACTATTTTTTTGGCACAAACGGCTATTGTTTTACTAAAATTAACTAGGTAACTATGGCACAAACGGTTATTTTTTTGGTACAAACGACCACGTAACTATGGTACGGGTGACCATATAGCAACCATGGTACAAACTACTATTTCGGTAACTATGGCACAGATGACCATATAGCAACCATGGTACAAACGACTATTCCGGTAACTATGGCACAGGTGACCATATAGCAACCATGGTA